ACAAATATGGTCAATCAAACTTTCAATTAACAAAAAAAGCGCATCCTCAGCTGCAAAATGCTTTGCACGCTCTCTGCCCAAAATTGGCATTTGTTGCAATACGTTGCAATACGCTGCTGTTGTTGTTGTTTTTATTGTTGTTGCTGTGGCAACGTTGCTGGTCTGTGGGTCTGTTGGTCTGTCTGAATTAATTGGCGCCACAATGTAGCGTAAGTTTTGTCTTGGGCACAGGATTTGCGGCCAAGCGGCGTTAACACCAAATTAATCAAGCAAGCGTTTGACAGGTGAGTGATTTGTGCTGCGGCATTGCAAATTAAAGTTTGGCGCCATAGTCTTGCAATTTCTAATTATGTCGTCGCCCCCTCGGGCCGCGCCCACTTGTCTGCCGTTTAGTTGGTTGGTTTGCATTTTAAACAAGCCGGCGTTTTGTCATCGTTTATGGCCAACAGCAAAAGCTCGTTAAAAAGCTGAGCGGCCAGTCCAGTTGTCGGCATTTTTACTTTGATGAAATGCTTAAGAGTTTGTCTCTAAAAGTTGCTGTAAACGCGTGCCGACCACGCTGCCAACATTTCTGAGCTTTATTTTTGTTTAGTCAAGGTTTTCATTAAGTTTCTCTGCACTACGAGTATAGTATTATTAGTATGCGGGCACGCTAAAAAGAGGCGGGGCGATTCGATTGCATTTTACAAGCGGCTAAGGGAGGCGCGCTTGCGCTTTGCGAGCTAACCATTCTACCATAAATCTTTGACGGCTAATTGAAAGTGCTGAATGAGAAATGACGCAACCACAAATATGGTCGACCAAACCCCTGGCTGCAGAGGGCAATGAAGAACGTTGCATGTCATTAAAAACGCCTTTTGTCACACGCTGCGTTAATTTGGCTTTAATTGGCTTGACGTTGTGCTCGCGTCGTTTAACAAACATGAGCATAATGGCAATTTATACATACACTCGAGCACACACTCATGTCCTTACACATACATATGTATACTATGTATATGTACATATATGCGCAATTAACATGACATACTCTGCTCCGTACTTCTTCGGCACACGCCTCGCCTGATTGGCCTCGGCGATTTCATTAAGCGTCGCGCATAACCACAAAATTCACTTCGTCCAGGCGGCAGGTGAAAATTAAAACCGAACTACAGATATCTGTCTATACATACATATATATATATCGGTTTATACGCAAGGCATACACCTGGAGAAAAGTATAGTTAGATGTTCCGAATATTCTGCATACATAAATTTAACGGATTTTGTATAAATCAATCGTATTTTAAGCGGACCATTTAATAAAATTTTACATTTAACTACAGATGTCTGTCTATACATACATATATATCGATTTATGTGTAAGGCATACACTTGAAAAAAAGTATAGTTAGATGTTCCGAATATTCTGATTTTTGTATAAATCAATCGTATTCTAATCAAATTTAATATTTTCAACAATAAATTGCATACTTGAAGTAAATATTCAACATTTTTTCCAACTGAGTACGAAATCTTTCTGATTATTCTGATTCTTACTTAGGTTTGAACTGATATAGGATATACAGCGGTTGGGAAATCGAACTCTATTTATTTGTTTTTTCTAACTGTTTTATATAAAATATTTGTATTTATTTTTATTAAAACTCAAAATACATACATACATCTATATTATACATAATATCCGCAGCAGACAATTTTCAAGCGTAAAGCTTTATATTCTTTACATATTTATCGAGTCTACATGTCGTTTCTTTAAAGCAGACTGTGTTAAGCGACTTCATGTGCTTCTTGTTGTAATAGACATAATAAATGACCCCAGCTCCCAAAAATGTTAGTGCAGAATACCAGAATTGATATTGCAAGCTTATGCGTCACATAATTATCTTAAATAAGATACAAATTTATTAAATCAAAACAAATTTAGAAGCCATTTCTATATTTAAGTAATCTGATTATTGATTCCCCAGATACATTTTGAACTTGTAGGTCTATGTGGAAGTCTTCAATAAGTTAAGCCGAAGCAAAGAGCTTGTTGCCAATTGTCTGCAATTCATTTTTAATAATCTTAACAAATCTTATGATGAAAAAAGTTTCTCAATACATAAGTATTAGTAGTATGACTTCCTTAGGTGCATTTTATTATCTTATTTTCGTTTGTTAATTGAAGCAGACATTCATACAACTTTCCCAAATTTTAATTTGGCTTCCACTCTTAAAATATAAGCAAGCTTTTGTTACACATTATTTTAAAATCATAATTTTTCTATGGGAGCTGTATTATATAAATCGGTTTTGTGCTGGCCAAAGCGAAAGACTCAGCAGAGAGATTTATTGCGATAGCTCCTAATCTATGGGAGGGGTAGTGATTGAAACAGACAGGTGGGCAGTTTATCTCATCAGGCTGATTATATATAGTATGTACAAGGGCGTACGCAGATTATAACAATTTCGCAATATAAAGTCGTCCACACATTCATGATTATGCGTCATATTTCGCCTTAATTGAACTGAGTTGGATTTGTTTAAGTTTTTTATTAATCAAATGCATAAATTATTATTTTAACGCATCGTGCATTATTTAATCAATATTTTAATTTTTATGACGCTCCCGTTTGGAAAACCTATAACTACCTATAAAATATACCCTTACGCAATATTTTTATGGGCCATGGCATAGCTCAATCCCACAATGTGGCGTCGTTCCTTGAGTAGGCACACGGTTCATGAAATAATCATGATTAAAAATTGTCAAAGTTATCATCCAATTTAATAATTATCCAACATATGACAGATCTCAAATAAAGATTAAACATTTAAAACATATATATACATACTTTTATGAACATTGCTTAAATTGATTTAAAAAATAATCAGAATTATGTATGAATTAAATTTAAAAACATAAAACAGTGATTTGTTACAAAAAGGGGGTACCTGTTGCCTTGAAATTTCCGGAATACCACTGGCTTTTAAATTATTGTTTTAAAATTGAAAATGGTTTTTGGGTGACCTGGCTACTTATTCAAACACGTACTTATATCGTTTACTATAGCACCAAAAAACAAAAAAAAAAACAATTTGTTTCTCTGTGTGTACCTGTGTGTACGTATGTGTGTGTGCGTGCCAGCAGCTGTGCGTGACAGTTATGAGCAACTTGGGAGCCCGCTCAACATAACTTGGTCACTGTGCTTTAATTTTAATTATTGCGATTTGTATTCACAGTTTCCCATCGCGCTCCCACCGCGACCCGCCACCTACTTCCCACAATTTGTCCGCTGCGTTACGCACGCGACTAATTTGCCAGCAACATGACACTGACATCCGACATCCGACATCCAACATTCAGCATCGGTCGTGGATGTGGACGTGAACGACAACGACAATGTTCGACGATTTCTCGACGCGCTTGATTAAGTCCAAGCTCTTGGCTTGTCGGCTTCGTCTGGCACTTGCTCTACATGTTTCCCTGGTTGGTTGGTTTTGTTGCTCGTGTTGTTCTTGTTGTTGTTTTCGTTGTTGGGCTGCTGATGCTGTCGCCTGTGCGCCGTGCGTTTGCGTTAATTAAGCGGCGTTGGCTACGCGTTGCATGCAACCCGCATTGGTAATCTCTGCGGATTAATGTGCGTCACTATTGCTGCTACGAAGAGTTGCCACTGTTCGCTTTTTGTGTTGTAAGTATTTGCATGCATTTTGCACGCTTGTTAACAATATTTCGACTTGTCGACCGGCAGCACTGCTCTGAGCCCATGGGCACAATTATTTTATGGCTGAAACATCGATGATCGGGAGGGAGGATTGTTAAGGATATCGGAAAAATATTTGTTTTTAAATGTGACAACTTTTCAGTAAAGAGTTTAAATATCCAACATTCAGAAGAATTTACATTTTATAGCCGGTGCGCAATCTTAGTTCTCAGTTTCATAAAAAAGCTTAAAGGAAGAGACTATTTAGTTTCATTTCAATTAACATTTTTGATATAATAATCAAAAATTAAATCCGGAAATTAGTTGTAAAATAATGAATGAATAATTTTTTTTTTTGATGATTCCTTTTCAAATTTGGCATTGTATACCTTTCGGTTGAAGGCTAAAATCGGTGGACCAGAATGGAGTTATACCACATTGCATGATTTTATGAAAATTGATTTCTGGCTAGTGAAATGGACAGTGCAGACATTTGTAGTCCTTTTTAAAATGTCCAAATCAGAGCATCCAATGCATGTAATAAGCAATTTTGTGAGTTTAAATTTAGTTATATTTTAAAAACGAATAGAACGTTAGTATTGTGTGAGATTGACTTTTATATTATGAGAGGAACATCCTTCAAAATAATAATACTTGATAGTTTAAGGTTTTACCATTTACATATTTCTGGAACCTTTTTGTAATAGAATTCCAATCCGAATCTGAGTCAATATCCGCTCAGAATCAGATTTATAATAATATAGGTGAACAAATTTGATTGCAAAAGTAAATGAAAACGGAATTCAAGATTATTTATTTGTTTAAATAACGTTTTGTTACTGAAATAAATCCAGCAGCCTGTTTCTATAAAACTAGTCCCTCAGTTTGAAACACCTAGGAAGGTTTTCATATCTACAATCCCTTGCTTCCACATGGCCAACACAAAACCCAAACCTCTACTGTCAACGTTTCGACCGTTTGAAGCTAACAACTGCCAAGAAACGAATAGAATTGATCAAAAGTTTATGTTTTAATTTAAAGATGAATAAAATAACATGTCTGCTTTAATAATCTTATGACTAAGGCTCTTACCGATAAAAATTAAAAACTAAATGAGGAGTCACCAATTAATATCTATATTTACAATAATTAGTATAAAGATGAGTGAATGTTTTGCATACTCGTAAGCTCAGACTATGATATCGAAATCGTATAAGCTAAGCTTTAGCTGTCCTCTACGTATTTCATGACAAAATTCTCAGTTAAGAAGTTAGTAAAGTAAAATTTTTAGTTTTTTTAGATTTTTGTTTTTGGAAACACTCAAAATTTTATATCAACATGAAGTTCGGCTATTTAATAAAAAACTCATCAAAATTATGCATTTCTCCACGCTTTTTTCATACAAATTCGGTGGCGTTGGCGCGCGTACTACAAAGATCTCGAAAGATGACCACCTATTTCGATTATCCCACGCAGGAAATTCAGGACGAACTGAGCTGCATTGCCAACGCAATTGTTGCGCCAGGCAAGGGTATTTTAGCAGCTGACGAGTCTACGGCCACCATTGGAAAACATTTGAAGGCGATAAAGGTGAAAAACACTGAGAAAAATCGACGCGCCTATCGCCAGCTTTTATTCACCGCAGGCGAAAAGCTTGGTGATTCGATATCAGGTGTGATATTGTTTCACGAAACCCTATATCAGAAAACAGATGATGGCAAAAAGTTCGTAGACGTCTTGAAGGATCAAGGCATTATTCCTGGAATTAAAGTCGACTTGGGCATTGTTCCGCTGTGGGGCTCCGAGGGCGAGGGAACCACTCAAGGTCTAGACGATCTGGCTCTGCGTTGCTCTTGCTATAAAAAGGATGGCTGTGATTTTGCCAAATGGCGTTGTGTACTCAAAATTGGCAAGAATATTCCATCTTACCAGGCAATTTTGGAGAATGCAAATGTTTTGGCTCGGTACGCTTCCATTTGTCAGTCGGAACGCATTGTGCCCATTGTCGAGCCAGAGGTTTTAGTCGATGGTGATCATGATATTTGTCGCGCTCAAAAGGTTACTGAGACAGTATTGGCCGCCGTTTACAAGGCATTGAATGATCACCACGTATTCCTGGAGGGTACTCTGCTAAAGCCGAATATGGTTACCCCTGGTCAAAAGTCAAAGAAGAAGGCGAAGCCCGAGGAGATTGCTATGGCTACAGTGAAAGCATTGCGACGAACTATGCCAGCTGCGGTGCCCGGTAATTTTATAGTTTAAAAATTAAGTTCTTATTTATGAAAAGAATAGGACAAACTAGATTACTTTCCGATAGCGATGCCTGTAGCTTAATGAAAAAAATTGATTTAAAAACTAGCTTGCAGGAAGCAGGGTATTTTGTTGTCGAACAATCTTTAACAAGGTGAAACTTTCTATCTATGTACAGGTGTAACTTTCTTATCTGGAGGTCAATCGGAGGAGGTCGCAACTGTGAACCTGAATGCCATTAACAAAGTTGATCTTGTCAAGCCATGGAAGCTGACCTTCTCATATGGACGTGCCTTACAGGCCTCTGTTCTGAAAGCCTGGGGTGGAAAGAAAGAGAATGTGAAGGCCGCCCAAAAAGAGCTGCTTCAGCGTGCCAAAGTGAGTTAACAAATCGACTCGAGTTGCAAATTTTCGATCAACTTTTTGTCCATTTCAGGCTAATGGTGATGCCAGCCTCGGTAAATATAAGCCCGGCTCTGTCAAGAGTGCAGCTGGTGGTGATACTTTGCACGTTGAAAACCGCCAATATTGAGAGGAAAGACGTGCTGGAACAATACAGTTGTAGTTAACATTTCGGCTTTCAAAACAAATTCTAAATTTCTGTTTTGGCGACAAAGTAAATAATTTTTATAATAATTTGAAAATATTGTAGAGTATTTATTCAGTGTGTGGGGTCTGCATCCTGTGTACGTACAGATACAATTCTTTAGAACATAATAGCAGCATTAAATCAAAGGCACTCGAAAGGTTGGATGTAAAGGTATATGTAAGTAATATACATAGTAGTGTCCTTGACCAAATACAGAAACTGAAAAATATTAGCCACTATGTTCTGAACAAAATACATAATGGATACCAATACATACCCTGCTGATAGGGAAGCGATATGTATGGTCAAGCAAAGCTAACTTGACCAACTCCGGACAGCAGAAGAACTGAATAGGACTGAAGCTTTTGAGATTGTGGGGCACTGAGAAGTTTTAAAGATAAAGAGGAGGAGGGTCTCTTCAGAGTGTGGATGGGCACCACCGCTTCAACCAAACCTGAGCTAGCCAAGTCTAACTAAACAATTGCAAGCAATCACTTGATGCATTAGACAGGGAGGATAACGAGTATCTCTGAGTTTTATGCATTTCTGTGCAGAGGCACATCGTGGTTTGTTTCCTAGATTCATTTTAGGCAATATGTGAGGTTGCAATAAATTCAAATCAAAAATTGCAAAATAGTGATACTTAAGAAAATCTTGTGGAAATTAACCTTCTCTCATTCTATGGAAACTGTTAGCAAGCGAGAACGTGGAATTGTTACTGTTGAATTCCAGGCTATTAAGTTATTAGGTAGTGAAGAAGAGTATTAGAAGGTTTACACTAGGCTAATTTGACCAATTTTTTTTTTTACCTTTTCCATTCAGTTGACCAACAGCTACAAGTACTTGGGCGTACACTTGGACACCGAAACCCTTTGCTTGATAATTGGGGGCCCCTGGTACAGGAGAGCGGCGAAAATCAAAAAGTACCTAGACGTACTTAAAAATAGACTCAATGACCAGACTGCGCAGGCCGGCTGCTGGCTCATTATAGTATTAGATTGTTGTTATAAATAATAACATCAAAATTAAATAATTAAAAAAAAACAGTTTGAACTAAGTTTAGGATTCTTAGTGTATTTTAATTACCTATGCGGATATCAGCTTATATATTTCAAACTCTTAAACAAAATTTAATGAAATAAAATTCAATGAAGTAAAATTTAATGAAATACAATTTAAAGAATGTGATTTATAATTAACATTTATTTTCAATTCATTGTTTTGTCCACATTTCTTTAGGTTTTGGTTTTTATATTTTCGGGGCATATGTATTATTTATAATATTTTTTGGTTGAATATCATCGATGCATTCAATTGACTCATGGATTATAAAATAAGTGAATAATTTAAATTGTTATCAGACTGTCTGGACCATGGGCTATTAATTGCAACCGCAATAAATCATAATTTATGCTCTAACTTTTCACCTCTAAGTTTAGCACTTACAACTTAATTGCTGACCATCGTGAAGCGGTCTCGACCAGGCAGTCCTAATGGCATTCTAATTGGACTTTTAATTGCTTTCTTTGTTGCGTGCGCTAAACTTTTGACTTCTGCTCACGCAGATTTGCATTTAAAAAACACTTCCCGATAGCTGCAGATTAACCTGAATTCGGGCCGTGACCGAAAGCGGAAATAAGAACAAAAAATAATCTGGATATGCTTATGTCGCAGATAAATTCTCTGTGCTATTAGAACAACAACAGCGGAAATTTATAATGGCATTTCGTACTTTATGGCTTCGAAGCGAGCGGCCAAATTTTATGGCCAAAGTTTTTGGCCAACACAAAAATTCCCTAATTCGGAGCAAGAGGACTGCCAAATGTGAAATCAACGCGCAACCTGCCATTTGGGTTTGTCATAAAAAAATTATAAGCACAAGCTTGGCGAGCAATTTTCAGAGCATAAATTGAATGTTAAGTATTTGTCGAAACAAACATTTTTCGCAGCCCAATTATTTGAGTTATGAAGCACATACTTGTAGAAGAAAATATCACACATAATGCACATAATTCTAATTGGCGTGGGAAATGACTGCATGAGCGGGGCAATGGAATGACATCGAATGCCGCTCTATACGAGTACTGTTTTGTATTGTATTTAGCTTTTTGTGTATTTTTGTTTGTTTATTTGTTTGTTTTTGTTTTTTTTTTTTTGTGTGTGGTGTGCTGGAGCTGCTTTAAAAGGATCGCTGGCGAGACACTTGCCTAATTTTGTGTAAATTATCGCACGAATTATGAGTCTCGTACGTGAAATTTGCCAAAAATAGTCAGCAGTAGTGGCAGCAACAGCAACAGCAACAAAATTAAACACGATAAATATCACACGCAGCCGTTAAAAAAGCAACAAACGCCAACGTGCATTGAATATGGATGTGAGTATAGTGCGAGTATGTGTGTTTGTGTGTTTGTCTGTGCAGCCTCGCGACAACAGCATCAATATTCAAGTTTCGAGTCGATTTTCATTGCGGCTGCTGTCGCTGCTGTTGTTGTTGCTCTCGCCATCCAATTAGGCCAGTCAAGTAGTTGAGCTTAAACCGCACTGCCAATAAATATGATCTACTGCAAATCTTCAAAACAACTCGACGGTCAGCACTCGATGGCTCCAAGTGTCTTGGCAGCTAATTGAGCTCAGCTCTGACTCAGCACTTTAAGCAGCACTGAGCACTGTCAATGCGACTTGAAAAATATTAATTGATTATCTATAAACGTTTTAATTGAAAAGCACTGCTCACAAAAAATTGTCAAAGTCCATGCGATTAAGCCAAATACGACGTTCTGCTACTCTGAAAAGATATTTTGAAACCATTCATATAATTTCAGCAATTTTTAAACATTTTTACGACTAAAGCGAAATGTTCTGGGCCTCAGTGCTGTGTACAGTGAAAACTCTCTTGGCCGGACACTCACGGTCGGCCAATTTTCGTCTGTCCAAGGGACTTCCGCCCGTTTAAGAGCATATATAAATACACCGATTGAAAAAGTGTCTGCCGAAGGGAGTGTCCGAATTAAAAGGTTCCGATTTATTCCTCAGACAAAAAACGTTTTCATCTTCTTTGGAAGTACTTGTGGACTAGTATAAGGTATCAAAACACAATTTTTTTTTTTTATATTTTCATAGCAGCCAAGAAATTGAGTAGCCATAGTCGCGATATACTGACTGACTTGACAGGCATCGTAGCTCAGCTACGAAACCGAATAGTGCCGGTATCAATTCAAAATATATTGCATTGAGAAAAAATAAATTTAATTTAATAATAGTTGCATTGTCCGATTTAGGTCAGATAAGTTCCGTTTTGATTAATAATTTTAAGGATCATATATCATAAATCTGCTCTAGCCCTCACTACTGAAATAGTCACCAGCAGACGATCCCAGCCGGCTTAACCAATGATTCGCAGTAATTCGTAAGTTTGGAAGTGCTTTATAACTGTTTTGTGGTCAACTTTAAGGACTGGACGAATAACATGCTTTTTAAATAGTTTCTACGATGAGGGGGGTACCTGTGCAAGGTGTATCTTTCACATCGAATTTTCCGGAGACAGAATTGCGCATAATTAGCTGAGACTGTATCGGAGCCATTAACATTATTCACAATTTATTTATATTTTCGTAACTATCACAGGCTTTTTGTTCTTCTTGACACCCATATGGAACACAAGTTATCTGATAAATAAATCGATATATCAACAATTTAAAATATCACTAGTCTTTGAGAGAAATCCCATGTTTTCTATAAACCAATACATAAAAAGATGCTTATAACTCTTTATTTCTCAACCCAATACTTGTATTTAAATCAATTCTGCAAAATAGTTGAACATTGTTTATATTTTTCATTCTATGCTATCTATGCTAGTCAAATTGTGTATAAGTTATAAATACTTATTAATAAAGGTATCTCTGCAGATTGCAGTTTTACAAATAAATTAAAAAATGTGAATGTTTTTGTTGTATATAATTTTTTCTAAACAAGAACACGATTTTAAAAATTGTCAATTAGAAATATGAGTAGAGTAGTAGCCTTTAGATAAACTTAACATTTAGTTTATTTCGGACTATTTATATTAGGTTTGTTCTTCTGCCTAAATTGAACGCATTAGATATTACACACTTGTTTCATTCGGTCATAAAAATATTTAAAAAGAATTTTATTTTATTATAATTTTCACCTATAAAAACGAACGTGTAATAAAACAAACGCTTTTGAATGAAAAAATCAATTGTAAAACTTAACCAGTAAACATGAAATTCAATTAATAATAAAAGTATTTCAATAAGTGGAAGTCGCGCTATCTTTTCGGTCAATACTTGTACAACCAAGAAATGTTTGCTACAAAATTCAATGGCAAGCAAAATATAATGCATTATTAATATACAAGCTGTCATATTTTTAGAGTATCGCAAGTCCCTCTAGCCTTTAGATTAAATCGGAGCCTTCAATTTTCCCTCCCCAGTTTCTTAAGCTGCACGGCACAATTTAAACGTTTAGTCAGCCAGGCGTAATTATTGTTATTACCAAATTAAGTAGCCAATTTTTTCGACTCTTTATCAGGCTAGCTGTCCATTGACTGCGGCGACGATGGCGATGTCGATGGTAATTGCGGCAGCTACTGTGCTGCGCCTGCTTATAATCCGCCAACTACTACTTACCACCAAGCCGAGTACGAGTATCATAAAAGTGTGTGACCGTCTGTCCGTCTGTCTGTCTGTCTGAATTACTCATGCTGTTGCATATTTTTTTACGATTTCGGATTTCAATTTTGCAGCACAAAAGTCGTTTTGACCAAAACGCACACTCACACTTGTACGTATATACTTGTGGGCATCATTTTCAAGGAAAATCTCTTCATTTTTAATGTGCTTAGCAGGCAAAGCCGCAGTAACTGCTCAGATACATATGTTGTCAGTACTGGCTGACTGGAAAAAATCGATAGGGGAAAAAAATTATCAGAAAAAATAATGATTTAGTCTGATGACGAAGACAGCATCAGCTTTTGGTTGACCGTTCGACCTGCGTGGTGGGGCGGTGCGGGGCGTGGGTAGGCGCTTCTAA